GAAATCTTATGTTTTGGATGCAAAGAATTTGTAAATATAAACTACAATTGTTATTTTCTTTTGGAATCCTTTAATTATACAGTCATATCATAATTCTTGCATTTCACATTAGAAGGAAGTCTCAAAGCACTTCACAGAATTTAAAGTGCAGGGACTGTATATTTTGTAGGTGAATGCAGTAGCCAATTTTGTGTACAGCAATTTCCCACAAACCGGATGAAATGGCTAACCAATTTAGTCTGGGGGATTATTGGCCAGAACCCTAGGGGAAACTTGTGTCTCTTTTTGAATATTGACATGGAATTGTATTGTCCACCTGAATTGGCAGATAGGGACCTTGGTTTAATAACTCATCTAAAGGATCTGAAAATGTAGCACACTCCCAGCACTGAATTGAAGTGTCAGGCTAGACTATTTTAGTTCCAAGTCTCAAATTGGGATTTGAACAAATAATCCTTTGACTCAGTGGCAAGAGTACTACCAATTGGGCCATCCTGACACCTAACTTGTTTCCTTGAGCTAATTGAGCAAGTGTTGCAGATTGCAATGTTAAACAACATGCAGCTAACATTTGGAACGCTCACTTTTTTTTAAACGTTTGCTTCAGTTTAGCTGTTTCTGTGGCAAGCCGGTGAAATATTGATAACTGAATAATAATCATTGCATTTGGTATTGTGCCTTAAGACGTCTCAAAGTGCTTAACAGGATATACTGTAAAGCTTCACAGGAAAGACTTTGTATTTGTAGATGAACATGGCAGCACATTTGTCTCACGAACAGCCATGAATTGAATGACCAATTTTATCTGGTGGATTATACAACACAAATTTACATTTATTTAGGGAAATGGATGAGCCGAAGGGACTCTGGAATAGAGTTCCAGAGAGTGGGGGCAGGTAGTCTGAAAGCCCTATTGCCTAGTATGGGGGACATAAACAAGACCAGTCGGTGCCCAGTGAGTGGAAGGAGTGATCGGCAGAGTCTGAGGAGATCGCAGATCTACGGTTGGGCAAAATCATAGGATTTAAAGGTTAGCAAGAAGAATCTTGAACGCGTGGGCACCCAGTGGAGCTGGGTGACGATGGGTGTGTTCACGGAGCCTAGCTTGGGAAAGGCTGTAGATTTCTAGATGGTCTGCAGCTTGTGGAGGGAAGAGTTTGGAAGTCTGACAAGTTGAGTATTGGTATAGTCAAGCCTGGATAAGGGTCTCAGCACCCAAGGGAGTGGTCTTGGTGAAGGCGGGCAATGTTGTGAAGATGGGGGAAGGCGGAGTGGGTCAGAGGTACCAATGTGAGGTTTGAAGGACAATTGAAAGTTGAACAAGACACGGAAGTTCTGCACAGGCTTCAAAGGGTGGAGTGTGCATTCAAATACTTTGATGCTATCGACAATTGTTGGCCACACTGGGAGGTACTTCTCTATTCAAATAGTGCCATTAGATTTTCAGCGTCCAACAACAACAACAAAATTACATTTTTTTTTAGCACCTTTCACGTTGTCCACCTGAACAGACAGACTGAACTTTGGCTTAACATCTCATCTGACCGTTAGCAGCTGCAACAATGCATCCCCTTCCCCCCAGCACTGTACTGGATTGTCAGCCTAGATTATTGTTTTGTTATGGATCATAAATGAATTTGAGCAAATTCAGATTACACATTTGGGTGTAAAAATCTAGCTCTATTGTATTTTTCTTTAGATGCTTTGAGATTTTATTTTGCTTAGAAAGCTCAATTTAAATGCAAATCGTTTTGCTCAAAATAGCCTTTGGAAATGAACCTCAGTAAATGAGGCCATAACATTGCCATGAGATTTGATTTTTGTCTGCTCAGTATATCCCAACTATTGTCAGAATATAAGAGCATAAAACAGTGGATGTATATTTAATTAAACCACCAGACTAGTGGATGCTAAAAAATAAAAGATTCCCAGGTGTTAAATGTCTTAGGGAGATACTTGAATATCCAAGTTGATATTGAGTCTTGTGATTCTGAAAGAGGCTCCAAATAGTTTTACATTATATTCTTTGTTCTTATTTAATGTTTTATTAATCAATCAGGTAATCTGTACAAACAGTCTGGTCAGTTACTTTTTCTGTTGCCAGTTCAAGACCTTGCCCATTTAAAATACTGCTTCTGTGAAGAGAGGGGCAACAGCTTTCTTATCAGAACCCAGAAGTTAACATACAAATTCACCGACTGGCATTAATCCTTGATTTACTAAAATGAATCAAGGACTTTCACAATACAAAGTAGAGTGTATTAAGCTTTTATGTTAAAGTGTTAAATGTATAGTTACACAGCACATAGCTGGGCTCCAACTTATTTCAAATGTTCAGTTAGTGTTAAGTTGTTTACCTCAGAATTACCAAGGTTTGGAAGCCATACAACCTTTATTATTATTATTAGGTTGCTTTTTGGGATCTTGATCGTCATGATTTCCTGTGTCAATAGGATTTAAATAGATGTGAGGAATGGGCTGAACAGTGATAGATTAAGTTTACTGAAGCAAAATGCAAGGAAATTCATTTTAGCAGGAAAAAAACAAGGAAAAGGAATATATTTTAAATGACAACAAGAAGCGGAGGGGCAAAGGGACTTAGGAGTGCAGGTGTGCAACAAATTGCATTTATATGCGCTTTTCATGTCGGGAAGATATCCCAAGGCACTGGACTGGAGACTGGGCAGGGCTTGTACCCGAACTGGATGTTGGATTCCGGAGGTCAGTGAGCCAAGAGGGTGGGGTTAGAGATGGGGGAAAAAGATGTCGAAAGACAGCATCAAAGAGGATGGTCTTGAGATGGGCCTTGAAGGGGCAAGGCGAAGAGACTCAGTGATTGAGTTCCAGAGAGTGGGGGCAGATAGGCTAAAAGCCCGACCGCTGATGGTTGGGAGAGCAGGGTTGGGATGTGAAGGTTGTCAGTGCATTGATAAGTGTCTGTCAAGTGGAGGGAAATGGACGGGTTGGTAGAAATCATTGACCAAACTGCAACTGGAGTACTGCATTCAGTTTTGTGCACTTGATTTCAGGAACAATGTTAAAGACTTAGAGAGGGTGTAAAGGAGGTCTATGAGAATGATAACAGGGATGAGGGGTTATAATAACAATAATCCTTGCATTTGATATAGCGCCTTATGTTGATATGTCTCAAAGGGCTTCACAGAATATACTGTAAAGTGAATTGACTGTATACCTTGTGGGTGAAATAGTCATAGTTAGAAGGAGAAATTGGAGACCTTGGATCTGTTTTTATTGAAGGTTGAGAAGGTCAATGAGACATTGGACTCAACAATCCGTGGTATGAAGTGGTTGCATTAGCATTAGGAATTTATTACAATACATTTTTGTTTGACTATGCCTTTGAATTCCATTTTTCACTTTAAATTGTATATATTTTTAACCAATTTATGCATTTGAGTCTTCAAGTTGCACAGCAACTTTTAACAGCTCTTTTGTTTTCAGCCCATAAAAATCTTTAAATAGAAGGACTGGACAATGCAAATTTCCAACACAAATATAATAACTTGGATTTATATAGCGCCCTTCATGTGGGTAGTGTCTCAGAGCGCTTTATTGCCCTATAAGTAAGGAAACTTGCGCAACATTTGGCCCTGCAAGGAATCGAACCCAAGTCTTTTGCTTGCGATGCGAGTGCTGTAACCACAGGACTCCACAAACAGCGGGGCATTCAATATCCTAACTTTGCATGAAAACAAATTCTCCTAACCCCCCATTTGCTTGTTTATTGACTGACTATAAATTGATGCCCCTTTATTTCACGGTAACCAGAACTGTGTGCAGTGCTCCAGGTGCAGCCTGACCAGAGCTATTGAACAGCCTGAGGAAATCGTCTGAGGATCTAAATTCAATTGATGTAGCAATATAGGCTAGCTAATTTGCTTTGTTTATTACTACCTCTCCCTCTTTTGATTATAATTGAGGAGTTAATTAATACCCCCAGATATCTTTCAGCTTCCCCCTGGCAAGGTCTATCCCATCCATTAAGTACTTGTGTTTCCTATTTACTTCCTATATGTTTTGAGCTTTTGGTTACCTTTCGCCTCGGCTAATACCTTTAGCTTGGGTGCTCATCAGGAACTGTGACTGCGCTTTGGGTTGTCATCCTAACGTGAAAGGCAGTACATTGTATTGTATGTAGTACCTTGCATTTAATAGTATTAAATTTGATTTGCCAGTTATTGATTCATGGAGTCCTGTAACTCAGTGGTTAGACCACTCACCTCACAAGCCAGAGACTTGGGTTCGATTCCCGGCAAGGTGAAATGTTGTGCAAGTTTCCTTACTCCACACGCCTCTGTTTACCTAGCAGTAAATAGGAACCCAGTTGTTAGTCGATTGGCAAATTGGTCTTCCGGGGGTAATAATTCTGTTAGGAAAAAAAATAAATCCACAACTGTTTGTGAGACACTGCTGTGTGCAATTGGCTACCGCATTTCTCCCACAAAATATACAGTCAATTTGCTTTACAGTATATTCTGTGAAGCGTGTTGAGACGTCTCGAAGACGTGAAAAGCACTATATCAAATGCAAGGATCATTATGTGGATATCTTATTGTAGGCTCTCTTTTGTTGGTGCATTGCTGCCTCCTCTGATTTCACAGTTCCCCCACCCCCTCCAATCTTGGTATCATTTGCAAAATAAATATCTTCCACTGGGTCTGCAAATCCAGGTCATTAATGTATACAAGGAACACGAGGCACTCCATACAGTCCCCACTGAGGCATTCCATTTTCTAGCCTCTTCTCCTCCTCCCAAACAAAGACTCTCTGCTTGCTTCTCTTCAGCCAATTTTAAATCCATGTCTAAATCTTGCCCTTGATACTCATTTTGCTGGGGCTTGAATCTACAACCTTCTGATCTAGAGCCGAGAGTGATACCAACTGAGTCATATTGATTACTTGCTTTTCTGTGCAAAACTCACTGGGGGCAAATAACTATTTTAATGAAAATATAACATGAAATTATTTTCGCTTTTTAGGTAACTACCCTTGTGAACACAAGTAGCAAGGGTCCATCTGGTAAAAAGAAAGGCCGATCCAAGAAGGCCCATGTGCTAGCTGCTTCTGTAGAACAAGCGACGCAGAACTTTCTGGAAAAGGGGGAGCAGATTGCAAAAGAGAGTCAGGATCTGAAGGATGAGCTGCTGGCAGCTGTAGATGATGTACGGAAGCAAGGTATGTAATAAGTTGTTTAATTTAGCAAATACAGAGGTTCACCTGCTACCTTTTCTTAGGTTGTATTTGAAATTTTGTATGAATGTGCTCCTCGTGGTTGTCTAACTTCCTGATCCAACATAATGTGTAACTTTTGGTAATAAGAAATAACTTGACTGTTGATTTTCCAAATTGTTGTTTGAAGATGGTGAAATATTACATTTATAATGCAGTTCTGGCACAGAATTGATCACTTAATTGGCCTGTTTTTGTGCTGTAACATTCTATAATTTTATAATGAGTTGCATTCGAAAAAGAGCTACCATTATCTAAAAATGGGAAGAACAAGCTCAACGACCTTTTCTATGATTGGACAGATGATTAATCTGAAAGCAAGCATAGTTGAATTGTATACTGTTAAACATATAAGATGACAGTTACAAAATCACAATAGATTGAGAAACAGAGCTTTGGAATGGTTACCTATATGACCAGTTGTATTTTGTATGTTGTGCAGCTCATTGAGATGCTCCCCCCCCAGTTGTTTAAGTCTATTTTCATGGAACAATATTTTTATAGTATACGATGTGCTGGCTAATGGACAGAAATCACATTTACCTTGTGCCTACTGGAATGCTGTGTGAGCTACTTATTATTGTTATAATCTTGCATTTAATATAGTGCCTTATTTGGAAACATCTCAAAGTGCTCCAGTTTTCGGTAAAGTATAGTGATTATTTGTAAATGAGCGTGGCAGATAATTTGTTCACAGCAATAAGCTATTGAAGTGAATAACCAATTTTTTATTTGGGTGGGATTGCAGACCAGGTACCAGGAGAAACACTCTTCTCTTTTCAAACTGGATCTTTAATGTCCACCTGAACAGACAGAGCGGAACCTTGTTAATGTCTTGTCTACAACCACTTTTCAGATTTCTCCTTCTTCAGTTGACAAAAGTAGGGTCAAACCTTAAAACTTGCATAACTATTTTTTAAGGATTTACAACCATCCTGGAAGTTACAAGAGGAAACCCCAAACTCCTTTGGGGTTCAAAAACTCTTTGTGGCCAGTCCCATACTGTGGTTGAGTTCCAAAGACAGCCATTTATACATCTTCCTTAAGATCATTGATAGAGCTTTGAAAAATCACAGAAATATGTAACTTGTATAAAGTGAATAAATGCAGTGTCCAGTCTTCAAGGATTAAATTAGTGTAATCCTTGAAGACCTAAGTTATCGACAGTAGCTATTGTAACCTGAAAATGAAAATTTGATTCCTCTTAAAAGACAGTCCTTGCCAAACCTTAATTTCCAGTACGGATCCAGGAGTTTAGTAACCTACTCACTGCTTCAGTTAAGGTCCCTCATGGCTGTCTTTGTCTCTGATGTGTTTGGTGATGATGACCCAGTCAAGCACAATTTCACTGTGGAATATTGACGGGATGTGTATGCCTCAAGAGAGAATGTGTAGAGAAAGAGATAAATATTTTGGGGGAGCTAAGAGAGAATGGGAGAAGGACATAACAGCAGATGCAAAACATAAGTTCTTCCTGAGGAATTGTTTGTAACTTTTGCTGCATTTAAAAAATACTCATTCTTTTCGTTAGTATGGGCAACCTTATTAAAGCAAAAGGTCAAGCCAAACAAGAAACTACTGTAATGTAAAATATAATTATGTTGTAATAGGTTTTCCTGAGTTGCACTCAAACTGAAGTAAACTAGGTTACAAAGATTTTCTGTTCAGCTACAGTGAGTTTTGATTAGTTGTAAATGCCTCAATATTCTTACATATTTTATTGTCAAATGTTACCGGTCTAATGCTCACAAATCTGTCAGAACACATTGGCTGGCACAGGTGTCAGCGTTGTAATTGTTTGGTGTTTCATAAAATATATCATTTAAATGTTTATTTAATAACTTTCCTAAACAGGGGAAATGCATATGAATTTATGTAATTTCTTGATTTCAGTTTCTTTATGTTTGTCATTTTCTTCATATCAAGGGACATGAATTCCCATCACTCAACACCATTTTGTATATTTTTATAATTTTGAACTACAAAAATGATAAGGATAAGCAACAGAGGTAACAGTAGTTTCTGACCAATGTACGGAGTGTGATGCTAAAGATATTGCCCTGCACTGAAATGTGATTTGATCAGGAAGTGAAGTCAGTGAAGTCAGTGATGGCCTGATGATCCTGAAGTTGTCCATTTCGGTAGTCAAAGCTTGTGAAAAGTCTCAAAACTGGGAAAACAAATCAAAGTAAAAACAGTTAATAATATCCGTCTAAATTCCAAAACATTTTTAAAATTAGGTAAGTTTAAAAATAATATTTAATTATCTTTAGATTTGCCTAATTTTGGAAGGCGCTATATCAAATGTCTTATGTCGCCAAGACATCTCAAATCACTTCAAAGGATTTTACTGTGAAGTTTAGTAACTGTATTTGTAGGCAGACTTAGTAGTCAATTTGTACACAGCATGGATTTTCAAATAGCTTTTCATACAATCATAGAATTATATAGCATAGAAGGAGGCTATTCAGCCCACGCAGGGTCTTGAAAGAACTATCCAAATTAATCCCACTCCCCGCTGTCTCCCCAAAGCCTTGCAAATTTGCCCTCCCCAAATATCAATCCACTTCTCTCTTGAAAGTTGTTATCAAATCTACTTCTACCACCCTTTCAGGCAGTGCATTTCAGATCTGAACAACTCGCTGTGTGGACAAAATGTCTCCTCATTTCCCTTCTGGTTCTTGTGTCAATTATCTTAAATCTGTGTCCTCTGGTTACCAACCCACTCGCCTGTGGACTTCATCAAATCCCCTCATAATTTTGAAAATCTCTATTAAAGCTCTCTTTAGCCTTCTCTGTTCCAAGCAGTACAATTGTAGCTTTCTAGTCTCTCCACATAACTTTTGGTAAAAGTTCAAATAGAGTAAAGTTGAGGCATATGAAATTTCAGGATAGGGAATTGATTGGGAAGTAGGTTGCAGAGTTAGAATAAAGGCAGTTTTTCTGATTATTTAGCACTATCAAATAGAACACAAGAAGAAGCAATTGCTGAGGTTGGGTGTGATTTGTGAGGATGTGAATACTGGTACAATGGCCAACAAGAGGAGTTGTAATTGCTTTCCTTATGCCACAGATTTTCAACTGAATATTGGTTATCAAGTGCTAGACATGGATTCAGAATTGACAATAGGACAGGAAGCAGACTTTTTTTGTTAGAGAAGTTCGGTCAAAATGGAGGAGGTATTAAACAAGGTGCTTAAGGGTCTCCTGTTCCTTGCATGTATTTAATATCCTGTATTTGCAGACCAAGTATAGTAGATGACACCACATTGGGAGACTGTGGAATCAGAGGAGGCAGCAAAAGTCCTAAAGTACACAAAGGAATTTTCTGAATTGGCTCTCAAGTTTGGTTCATTCATTGGTTCAAAGTTTTCAAGGTTGGAGGTTCGGTTTATTTTGAAAATCTGCAACAAAAAACTTTGATTCTTATCTAGACATTGAGAATCAAAAGGACACATCAAAGAATATAAGGTAGAGAAAGGTTTATCCCATTATGATAGTTGAAATCTCAACTGAAGAACAAGAGAACTCCCAGGTGACATTGGAAATCCGGTCAGTATAGAATGCAATCCATTTTCTTTTAATCCTTCAAATCATTACAGTACAAAGATGCCTTCTAAATCAAAATCAAGTTTGTGCTCTTATTATTTCTAGTAGTTATTTGAATCTGTTCCTGTTTTTTAATTTATTCTTTGATTCAATTGGCTATTGCCTCTATTAATAATACCGACTGGCTACTGAAAGAAAATGAGTAACTGAAGCCTATGTACTATTGTATTTATTAATAACTATCAGGATTTTAATCCCTGGTGAAGGTTTTGCTGATGAGGAAGTAGAAAATGCCTGAGAAAACGCACAATTTAAATTTATAAGGTCTGCTTATATGAAGAAGTTAAATGAAGAAGTCATTTAAAGAAGTTCTTATCAAATTATAAACACTGAAGACAGAATTGAAGCAGAGAGGAATATGTTTTTTGTTCTCTCCCTCGAGTCCTACTTAACTGACCAACAGCACTTCATCTCATCCAATGGTTTTCTCGATCGCCCCCGCCCAGTTACCTGCAGGGTACACCAAAACTCCATCCTTGGCCCCCTTCTTTTCCTCATCTACATGCTCCTTGGCGATGACATCCGCAGTCAAGGGAGCAACTTCCACATGTATACGGATGGCACCCATTATCTACTTAGTCTGCTGATGTCCTGTTAGCTTGTTTGATAGACATCAAGACCTGGATGAGCACAAATTTCCTACAGCTGAATGTCGGCAAGACCGAAGCCATACTCTTTGAATCCCATCAATGTCTTCTCTCCTGCAGGTCTGAACTCCTCAATCTCCCCGGGCTCTCCCTCAGACTCACTGAACCTGTGCACAACTTAGGCATTTTATCCCAGCTTCCTTTCCAGCACACATCCATCCCCTGACTAGGACTGTTTTTTTCCACCTCTGCCAAATTGCCCACCTCTGTCCTTACCTCACTACTGATGCAGCAGAAACCCTTGTCCATGCCTTCATCACTTCCTGGCTGGACTATTCTAATACTCTCCTCGCTGGTCTCCCTAGCTCTACCATACACAAAATACAATTAATTCAAAGCTCTGCTGCCCAGATACTCACTCGCATGAAACTCCATACCCCCATCACACTAGTCCCAGCCAGGTGTGGGTGATTTCAAGATCCTCTCACTTGCTTTCAAATCACTTCATTCCCTCACACCTATCTATCTAACTGACCTGCTTATCCACCACCACCGGCTGCCTCCGTTCAGCTGGCTCTGGCCTCCTATTTGTCACTTGTGCTCTCCGTTCCACCAGCGATGGCTGTGCCTTCAGCCACTATGCTCTGAAACTCTCTCCCTCAATCCCCCCGCTTTGCCACCACCCTCCCCACCTTCAAATCCCACCGAAAGACCTTCCTTTTTGATCGTGCTTACGGTCACGTTCCCGTT